AGCAGACTTCGCGAAACTGACCAAACTTACATAGTATACAGGGACCATGCAATTACGAAATAGCGCAACATGGGGACCGTAGAAGTTGAAACTAGCATCATCAAGGGACCACCTCCGTCCATACACAAGAAACATCCTCCGTTCACTTCGATGCCTTGACAAGCCTGCATTAAAAAAACTCTGCAAACCTCCAAATGACCATCTCAAAACGTTGCCCGAAAACACAAAAAAATGAAAAAAATCACGCAAAACGCAGCGTTGCAAGTGAACCCGACGGGAGGGTTTAGGAACCCTACACCCTAAACCGCCTTGGCGACACGTTTCGCATCTTCCCACTTCTCAAGCTGCCGGTACATGGACATGGCGCTGGTCCACATCTTCGCCTTGCAGATTCCAGTTTTCATGAGCAGGGACCCGAATAAACAGCCCCAATATACCATAATCCTTTCAATGGGAACCTAGAAAAGGATCCCTAATTTGGGGAAATCCCCAAATGGACATACTGCAGAGCTGGCTATCTGGAACTGAGCAGTGGACCTCAACATAGTAGTGCTCTGCTTTCTTGAGATTGCCCTTCATCTCATACTGCTCCGCGATGTGCTTGTAGGTATCATTCAAGAGCTCCTCACTTCTCTGCTGTCTCTCGTCTGGGCTGTCATGCAAGTGGCGGGTCCTTGCGGTATTTAGATACCAACCGCAGCATCTGCTCGTACTCTTCCCTCTTTTTGTACCTTGGGTCAGGGTTTAGGGTTTAAGGTCAACGGTCCAAAACTATTAATCCTAACCCTAACCCCTAAACCATAAGCCCTAAACCCTAAACCCTTGAAACCAAGGGTTTACGGGGGCTTGGGGTTTAGGGTTTAAACCCCAAACCCTAAACCCCTAAACCCTAAACCCCAGGGTTTAGGGTCAAGTCACAGGAACTGCTCAGTAACAGACCTTTGGAAAGGAAGAGTTCTGAGCGCGTGGCATGTTGATGGCCAGGTCAAATTCATTTACAGCCAAGTACATCTGCTCCGCCTGCTTCACAGGGTTTAGGGTTTAGGATTTAGGGTTTAGGATTTGGGATTTGGGATTCAGGGTTGGGGGGTTTAGGATTTGGGATTAGGGTTTAGGCTTTAGGGCTAAGAACATTTGGATTTAGGTCACCATAACATGGACATATCATATCGTAAGTATGAGGGTTTCAACACAATAGTAGCTGCTTTGAAGTTGCTCAAACCACGATATGATATGACTCCAGTTTCCATTTTAAGTTCCACGCTCTTTCCCATTCCGGGAACCCAGTTTAAGACGCATAGAAGCACAAGTTGAGGAAGTCATGCAGATGCCAGCAATCTCCGCGCACGCAAAACTAGCGGGCAGGGATTATAGCGCGATCATACAGGGATCATATAGGAAGATTTAGGGTTGAGGACCTTTACCTGAATAATTATCAGCCAAATGGAAAATGGAAAATCAAAGGGTAGGTTGTCAAACTTGGGGTTCCTTTCTGCGTCGGGCCCTATTGTAATGGGACCCCAAAAAAAAGGACAATGCTTTCGACAAGCTTCAGCATGAAACTGCCCTGCCTCATTGAGCTTGACAGACTGCTCCAGGCCCTGCCCATCCGTGCAAGAATTTCTGGGTTGAGGGGTTTAGGGGTTTAGGTTTTAGGGCTTCGGGCTGCGGGCAGGAAAAAGGTCCGCTCCAACCCTTGCCAGCCTGCGCCAGGGCAATGTAGAGCTCTGTCCTCTCCGCAGGGGATAGTTGCCCTAAACCCTAAACCCAAAACCCTAAACCCTAAACCCTAAACCCCAAAACCCTAAACCCTAAACCCTAAACTGTCCTCTCCGCAGGGGATAGGTGCGCTTTTGCAACTCGATGCGCTTTCTCGTACCTGCTGGTGGCAGGCAAGAATCAACTAGCTTCAAAAAACATCAGGAGCAGCGCACTGCGCATGTTCCACATACATCTGAACCTATAGCCCAGAGCTGTAGATGGGAAGAAGCTTCACGCGCACACGCAAGACTCGAGCAAGGAAGGAAAGCTTGTGGATGCTTGGCATGCGGCAGCCCGCTGCGGCCGGCCAGACTTGATGAAGGCCCGCTCGGCCTGCTCAAACCTCAACCAGAAACACGCCCACTTAGCAACAAAGTACCCAAATTCACATAGATGGATGTTGTGCACCGACTTGCATGTCAGAACA